ATTTTCACAGGACAATGATATAAATGGAACTTTAAAACTTTTTTAAGTGTTACAGTGATATTTCGTTATATCTTCCATAATGTCAATAATATTGATGTCCTTGCAACATCCATAATTATTACAAATGTCAATATAACGAAATATCTTTTATTCGATGTTTGTGGTGTAATAAAAATCTGTGTTTCGATTACGTTTTTGATACGTATTACTCACTTATATGTAATAATATAGAATAAAAATATACTATTAGTCCGATATTTGAAAATATGCATGCGTTCGTTGTCACTGTTAAACTGTTGTAATAACAATGGAATAATAAAATAATGTACTCAAATGTACATAATAATACATATACATATCCATAAAAACAATATTAAACGCAATAAGTTTTTTGTACGCGAAGAAAAACTAATATAGGTGCGTTGGGATTCCTACCCAAGTCTCCTTTCTAATACGTCTACTTTATAGCAAGCGGACGGAAGAGAATCCGTTCACGACCATGGTCCCTTCTTAGATTTAACGTAGTTCACAAATTCACCGTTCTCATAACGTAGAGGGCAGCAGAAAATCCCTGACTTTTTACACTATCGGTATTTCAGAACATGAGACACGAAATCCCATAAGATGATAGGTCTATTCTATACTTAGTCGGTGGTATTACTTTTCCAGAGACAATCTGCCATATACTCATCGCAGCAACGGTAGCTGTTTCTGCAGATACATGTGTAACAGAATTTCACTGGATGTTAGGTCTATTCTCTTCTATCTTGTCTATGGTACCATGAATTGGAAATTTGACGGATGTCAATAGAACTCTCTGAACGTATCTCACATTTGCTTCGATGTATCGCATTTAAATCGAGATTGCTCTAATTGTATGAATAAGAAATGTGAAGACCTGGAGTAATAATCACTTGAATTATCCGTTGTGAACGTTAAACCGTCATAAAGTAATGTACAGGCCACCAATGAGTGACGTAACATAAATCAACCTGGAACAACGCGTGTGATGCTGAAAGCTTCGATTTGTTCAGGTGCTTGGATTCTCACTATCCTTTTGTTAGTTACTTCCGTTAGCAGAATCACAAGACACAACGTTATCAATGGCATTAACGATTTCTCGTGGCAATACCATCATGATTGTTGTTGCCGTCACCATCACGAGCAACTGAAAAATTCCAACTATCATATCATAAGTTCTAAACACATTCAGCAAGATTTTAAGCATTCTCTCAACGACACGTGTCCATGTGATTCATTGTCAATAATCGCATTATACGAAACCATCAATAATTCAAATAATACAATTAACTTTACCAAACGAGTAGAAATACTATACAAAGAAAGCTTAAGAAATAATTTAGATTATTCGATAAACTCATCGATTCTAAGTTCTTTTATAAATTATTTCGATGATATTTATAACAGTAAAGAGAAGTTATTTATTGCGTTTAACAACATATCAGCACAATCTATAAAAGTACATGGTAAAAATCAACGGGGTCCAGTTGACTACCCATGGAAAAGAAGAAGTTTGTGTGCTCTTTCTGATGACGGACAGTATTCAATAGATTCTGTATGGAATACCGACGATTCCGACGGCGTTGGCGTCAAAGAACACGAGAGAAAGACGAAAACATTGTCAGACTACAATGGTCCAGTTTTCATGAATGATATTGTGGATCCAGATTCTTTGAAAACGCACGTGCGAGTGAAAAGATCAAAATCAAACCCAAATTCTCCTGTTGCATATCAACAGGATTATCTGAAAGACTTGGCCGATTCGTTTCCTAGAGATTCGTACGAATTAATCGATGAAAATTATGACGATGATACTTCGTTCGATGCGAAACGGGAAGTCAATCCGCGGAAATATCTCGCGAGCGTTGATCATCCCATAGAACCGACTAAACGGGACGTTGTCAACAATAATTTTGGCTCGTATCATTCGTCGCCTGGCGACGAATTCGCTGAAAATAATCTTCCCAGTGAAAGGCAATCGTTTTCTTCGGAAGAAGTTGTCAGCGTGCCAACTGAAACCGGTAAAGAAAAATTCGTAGAAAAAACTCCAAGATCGGTGGATCAAGTAGGGAACCAGGAATCATTGACAGGCGACGTTCCCGTTGTAAATCAACGGTCGCAGGATTTAAATTTAGAAACTGTTCCTGAAGATCGTATGCTGGCAGTAGAGTTAGTTAGGAAGAAGCGGAACAATTACGTGAATGCTCAAAACGAGCGTAATTCGAGGGAAGATAATTCACTGAAAATTAACGAGGTGGCTTTAGCTGACTCAACTGGCGAAATACAGAAATTATTTAAGGATCAGAACCTGGAAAGTCGGAGCCGAGAACCGTCTAGTTTAGCTATTGCTGATTTAAAAGCGGATTTGTTGCGATTCAAAAGGAGGGCGAAGAACGATCGTCGCGAGAAAGAATCCAAGGGAAAAAAGAAAAAGAAACACGCGAGTAAGAAGCAACACGATTTGAAGGATAATCCTCCTCGATCACGAAAGAATGTTCCATCGAGGAACACGAATCAACGGCGATCGGTCCGTAAACGAAAGAACAGCGAGCCAAGAAGCGACGGTAAATCAAACCTAGGATTTGCTAAGCTAGTGTCTAAGAGAAATAATGACAACAATTTTCGCCGTAGATCCGTAAGCTTGATAAAACCGACCGATAAAGAATCCGAGAGCGAACGTGCGTCGTCACCAGACACGTTGTCGGTACAGGCTAGATTGAAAAAAATTCGTGAAAATGATATCGACACCGAGAATTCGGAAATCTCGTTGGTTTCACACAGAGGAGACGGTTTCGAAGCGAGCCAAAAATTGGACGAAAATTCGAATACATTGATGGACGACGAGGAGCGAGTAGGAACGAAAAATCGAAATCCAATATCCATGGCAGACGAAACGAAAGTACGTTCGAAGAGAGACAGGAGCATGGAATCGAGACACGGTTTCTTGAGCGAAGACGATGAATTGCGATATTATGAGAATATTAGGGAATACCAACCGAATAGGGATTGCGCTACTCAAGGAGAAAATTCGGCGAGTAACGAAGCGGAGGCTGATCGGGCGGTTCGTTCGATTGGAGAAGTGAAAGATCTCGTGAAGGAGCTGGCTACTAAAGTAGGTACCTATTGATGTGTATATTCGTAAGCCGAGCGTTCGAATTTTGTTTCGACTAGCAACGAATTTCCTTCAAGGTGGATGAGCTTGAGAATTACTTAAATATCGACGAGGCAACGGGAAACGAAGGGTCCGAGAAGAGGATCGAGACTCGTGCGATCGACGAGTTATGCTCGAACATTACAACCGCTTGCGTGGATTTCAAAGAACCGTCCGCGATCGTTCAAAGATGCGCTCCGACGTCTACGGAAAAAATCGTGGTTAATCGGAAAGCTGGGAAAAGAAAGATCAACGAACGGAAGCACGTGAAGGGGAAAAATGACAATTTGACGGTAAAGAAACGATCGTCTCGCGAACACGGGACCAAGGAACCGTCAAGCATGCCGAAAACTATTCGTCGAGAAACTGAGAAATCCCAACGTAAGTGGGGTACATGGACAGACTGGAGCAGCTGTAGCGTCACCTGTGGCAAAGGGCGACAGATTAGATGGCGTTACTGTTTGCACGACTGTAGCACCGCTGAGACCGAAATGGAGGAGAAGGCTTGTCAATTGCCGGCATGTCCACCTGGCAAATTCCTTGGTATATTTTAGTATTCCTCTTAATTCGAGACAGGATATTTAAATGATATCCATGATACAGGATTCAACTATAATCTACTAAGGTTTGACAACCCAATATTCATTCATTGCTATTTTAGTATACGCCTACATTGTAATTTTTGTACGTCGATATATCGATTTATATTATGCACTTTATGTATTAAAACGTAAGAGAAACAAGTATTGTTAAATAAAGAATTACTCGTACGGTTCTACAGAAGTATATGAAGAGATTTTAATAAAATACAGGAAACAATGTAGGGAACAATAAGCGAAAACAAAATTTAAAATATTAGGTATTAAAGTGTCACTGTTTTTGTAAGAGATTGTTTGGAGGGCTTCGTGTTTCAAGTTTTTGGTGAATTATTAACAGCTTAGCCAAAGGAGAAAGCGGTTCTCAGCTGTAGTAACCCCTTAAAGGCTGGTTTTAAATTCCTGTAGGAATTTTACTTATTGCGTCTTAATTTATCAAAAGATATTTATATCAACTTGAATGAAATTAAATCACATGATGTATTTTTTTCGTTTCATTACCAAATACACAATATATTATACAGAATATTATAAACAAAACTTCATTCTTTTTCCCTTCGTATGTATTCACAAGTAACGAATTTTCGTTAGCGACGACAAGGCCTTCCCATACCGTTACTCGAAAGTATTTTGTGGTTTCAACATACGCTAACGGTCGTTTCACAAAATGTACAAATTCTGTTCAATTTAACGGATCACTCTGCTTCCTTTTTGTCTACGGTCCGCATGTTCCTATACTCGTAAGAATCTCATTATCATACACGTATTGTTTATTCAACAGCACTGTTGTATTTCTTTTCATTGCTTATAAACTAGTATTTTCTGTAATAGTATAAACGGTGATTCGAACATGATACTTTAGTAACATTAGACGAGTCGTCCAGAACCTTGAAAACGTTCGAAAACTTCGATGCATTTAACATTCGGAGCTTAGCGAGAATTCATGTTGCATTATTTAAACGTTCACATATCTACATAAAAAACAATGCACATTCGTTCGTGTGATCGTGTCAGAGAAAATCACAGTGATGTCGCACGATTATCATCGATGCTTGATACCCTGCATGTGCAAGGTTACTTTTTTCTTTAATATTACATATTTCTGTTCATTGTCGGCCATTAGTTCTTACACTGCGATGTATATTGTCCATTTAACGATGACGTGTAACAATGTAACAATCACAGCACGAAAACTTGAGCGAATCACGCGATACAAAGTGAAAACATGAAACGAAAAGAATGTATTTTTTTGATTTAGGTAAAATACGATTGTACAGGATGTCCAGTAAGTTGTGGTATAACTGTCAAGTAGGTGATTCTTACGAGGATGTAAGTACAGAATGTATAAATAATGTTGAGCAACACGATTTAGAATATGAAATTACCGTTTCACATGCAGATATGTAATGTTGTAGACAGTTGTTAATGTATTGTGTAGCGTTTAAATGTTAATAGAATCTTCTGTTATTAGACTCATTTTAAATCTGCTGCATCATAGTGTCAAATCAGGAGACGTACTTTTGAGAAACTATGCAACCAATAAAAAAAAAACTTACTCTACATATTACTTTTATCGTTTCGTAAGAAGTTACTTTCATTTTGGTAGTACCACGATTTACCAGACACGTCGCGGCGCCGAAGAGTACGTGCTATGACCATTTACCGAAGAACAAGAGATCTCGTCGATGGCGATACCTCTAATTAGATATATCCGGCTTGTCTAAGGGACCACTTACATATACAAATTGATCACAATGGTAAACGCATGCATACTCGCGAATACAAACACGCACAGATTAACTCCTTTTAGAATACACGCGCGGACACACACTCATATAATTGCGTAATGTCTTTTGACCGTTGATACTTGTGATCTGTCTCAGAGATTAAAGGGCGCAGAAAAACTCGGTCCCTTGGTTGTCGACAACAATCTTTGCCTATCTCGACTGCACTAAATGATACATTTTTCTTCTTTTCTTTCTTGTTTCTGTTTGTTTGAAGTTGAGCTTATCTGTTCTTTTTTACATTGTTAGTAAATATACGATATCCTTTAAAAAAAAGTGTCTAGTAAATCCTGTTCATCCGTTTCACAATAACAGCGAACACGTAGTTTCCCATTCGTTACTTCTTCCTATCGATTTTCCTCTACGTCTACAGAAGATTCATGCGCGGAAGAACACTTGTACGGGGGCATCCACTCCTCTTGGCAGACCAGTAGAAAATTATTTCGTATGGCATGACGAACGCGACCTTTAGTTCGCTTGTATTTGTTAAAACAATATGTTCCTCGACGGTTTTGTTTTAGTTTCGGACAATCAATCTTGCGTGGGGTTCTCCTTGCCACCAGCTAACACTCGAACATCTCTGTCCGGGTCCGATTGCATTTTCAGAAGTATTTTCTCCACTTCCTCCACCTCCTCGCTGTCTAACCAGCATGCTAAAAGATTCATATAACTTTACTATAACTTACCTATTACAAAAGTTAATAGTTCTACCTTTGTCTTGTTTGAACTAACAAAAAAATTACTAACGAATACTTACGTCCCATGGGAACAACGTCTTTCAACAGAGTTCTGGCAACGGCTAATCTCACATTTGGTACTTTGTCCGTGGACAGCTGTAACAGTATAGGTAACAATTCCCGGGAGAACTTAATTCTGGTGATAGCGTTGTTAGATACTAATTGACCGCAAAGAAACGCGTACGTCTGTCGTCCTGTCCACTTCTCCGCGTATACACCCAAGGAGCATCTTAGATCTTTGAATAACCTCGACATTGAATGCCTGTGGGCGGTTAGATATGCCACGATTTTGGTTACCTGCGCCCAAAATTTTAGGTAAGATCAATGAATTTTCAGTGACATAATAGACAAAACTGGTGGTTCCTTCAAAACTACCATCCTGAATGTTGTATATTTACAGTTTAAACCGACAAGTCATTTTTTATTGCACATCGAAATAACAAGTCCGGGGTTAGGTATATCTTATATGACCTAGTCTAGGTATTGTAACGAATTTAAACGAAGCGTTATCTGAATTACAATTGCTACCCGCGGTTGCAAACTGCAATTTCTCAATGGAGCATCATGTACTAAGAAGCTATCCAAGATGGTAATATCAATCGAGGCACCCGTGTGTATAGTTGACCGTAAAGGAATGTCGAAGTCACAAACGAACCAATCAGAACGACTGAGAAAAGCATTCAATACTATGTTACATTAATGATTCAATAGACTTAGGTGGTCCGCACATGCATTAAGTACTTACAATCGTTACCGTCGACTATACATGTTGAAAACAAAGAAAAAAAAAATACGGAACGTTAAACGTGCGAGATCGTACCAAAGAAAGCGCAACATGCCTGACAGCAGCGACCTTGTCGCTGAGGAGGGTGAACGACAGAGGGGCAATGTAACGTTCCACGTCGTACGGTTGGAACAGTCTTACAGTCTCGAGCAACTGGGTGGCCAATTCCTCGCGGAACCTCCAGTTCGATTCGTTGTCGGTGGCAAGGAATTCTTTCAGCATTGGTAAATACAGGTACCGATCTCTCGGCTCAAGTAACTTCAAGAACGTCGCGAGATTCTTCAGAATGCCTATCCTAACTTCGTCCAGGTCTTTGACGAAACTACTGTGAATGGGTACTAGCACATCGGCGGTTAGGTTCTTGCCGAGGATCACGGCGATCTCGTGGATACCGGACGCGACCGTGCGTCTAACTTTCCATTGTTTCGCCATAGCCAACAATATGTACGCTTCCTGCAGATCAGGCCACTTCTTTCTGCCCAACGTGAGGGCGACCGCGGGAAAACTGAACGCGCAATGATGTGGTATGTCCGCGCCCATGTCCAAACAATGCTCCGGCTCGGCCATCGACAAGAACGAATCGATCAGATGATTGGGAACGATCTCCTGTTTGTTGTAATTGATCGAATCGAACTCGCCGGCCCCGTATTTGTCCTCGTTGCACAAATCGGTCAGCGTGGACGGTTTGTTCGAGGTGTTCCTCGATTTCCGACTCTTATTATTCTGCGCTGTGGATCTTTTCGCGGCTTCGACCAGCTCGTCGTCGGGTGGCAAATCGGGCGCGATATAATAGTATAAAAAGGGACTGTATTTGTCAGAGTCGTCCACGACTTCCTTCATTTTAACGTATTTCTGTATCTGCAACGAAAAAGTAAACCCCATGAGGTGATTCATCGAAATGAAATAGAAATCCGAAACTTTGTAAGACTTCGGTGATTCGGAAAGCAAACCGATTAACTGTATTTTTTTTATTTTTGTAAATTGAGGGATGTAGTGAAAATGGGGCATATGCCACAATATGTACTACAAAACATGACAATCACTCTTAGGAAAAATAAGGTTAGAGCTTATTGATGGTACAGAAAGCTAAAAACCGACATACAGGGTGTTCCAAAATAGATGTAAGTCCTTGATACGGATGATTCCTAGGGTGATTGGAAACAACTTTTCCTTTAGCAAAAAATTTCACAGAAGTTTTGTTCACGAAATATTAACGAAAAACCCTGACCAATCAGAGCACGAGCCTGTCGGCTGAGTTCCCGCAGAACCAGGTACCCAACGTTACCGCGAGAGCTCAGCTGGCAGAATCACGCTCCGATTGGTCACGGTTTTTCGTTAATATCTCGTTAACAGAGCCTTTGAGAAATTTTTCGCTAAGGCAAAAGTTGTTTCAACTGATCCCAGGAATCACCCCTTCAAGGACTTACAACAATTTTGGGACACCCTGAAGATGTGGTATGTGTCCCTTTTGCACCGAACCCTTCAATTTTAAACGCAAGTTCATCCTCGAATGGCAGAATAAACCATACTAATTTCACAAGGTAAACGGTACCTTCGACTTGCAAGCTCTTATCATCGAGACGTCATCTTCTTGGAACTCGTCCTCCTCGGGATTCTCCTCCTCGTAAATTGGTTTGTCTACTATCACAGATGAATTAAAGTTTTCCTTAGTACTATTATCCTCCGCGTCGAGCGTGTGACTGCGTATTCGGCACTTCGTGGGGAAAATGTCCTCGTAGGAGTACCTTATACTGTAAAAACACCGTGATCCAATTCCTGTGATTCTTTTCGTTCGCCAAAGTGATAGGATAAACAAAGACGGAAAACAAAAGAAACAGAATGGAAGAAGGCGGAGGAAGTTAATTCCTAGTGTACCTGTAACCACTGTCCTGTTGTCTGGTGAACACCAGTTCGCCCTGTTGATTGTACGAGATGTCGGTGAACTGTTCCGCGAACGTGGATATAAACGGTCCCAGAATTTGAAAGGCTGATATTCGCACCCATTTCGATTCGTCGTTCAGATGCGTTGCCAGGAGATCGGCCAATAGTAGTCTACGGTGTTGGAGGGTCATGCAGCAAGAAACAGGTATCATCACGTCCACGCAAGCTTTCCGAATGCCCCATACTTGGTCGCAGCACAGATCGACGTAGAGCGGGAACTGCGGGACAACAAGACCAACTGAAAATGGCACTTTCTCGGTCATTGTACGCCAGAGATTTGACAAATTCGTTGTCTGGATTAAAAGTCTTAAATAATAAATGAAAGAAATAAAGTACTTCGCCTTTTTTATTCTTTGTTTAAACGAGGAATTTTCTATTTTTTGTAATAAAATAATACTTCTGCCCGAATCAGCAGACACTTAGGGACACTCGTTAACTCTTTAACACTAGAACTATCGACGATCAGCGAATCTTTATTTCTATCCGATAGATAAACATGACAACCCTTTGAAAATATTAAAATTTATATCTCAACTAAGTTGTTCATTTTCATACTGCAATAAAAGTCGTGAAAGATCTGAGAAAATGCATTGTTCTAACGTTTTAATTATTGTTATAGAAGGGTTCTAGTGTTAAAGGTCAGGATCTTTTTGATAGTGCCGTTTTGCACACACATTTACATTGTTCATCATAAAAAAAAAACAGAAATACGAATTTAACTATTGCAGGTACAAATTTATTTGTGAATCGATTCGACGTATAATAAGAATTAGATTAATGGTAAATGTCAATTTATGTTAAGTGAGCAGACAAATACGCTGTGTAGTCGAACTGCTTTTCGCGAGTAAAAAAGAATAATCTTACGTGAAGTGATGCGTATACAAGGTGTTCAAAAATAGGTGTAAGTCCTTGAAAGGAGTGATTCCTGGAGTGATTTGAAACAACTTTTTCCTTAGCGAAAAAGTTCTCCGAGGCTTCGTTAATAAAATATTCACGAAAAACCCGGACCAATCAGAGCGCGAGTGTCAGCTGAGCTCTTGCGGTAACCTTGCGGCGCTACCCGCAGGAGCTCAGCTGGCAGGCTCGCGCTGTGATTGGTCGGAGTTTTTCGCTAATATCTCGTTAACAAAGCCTCGTAAAACTTTTTCGCCGAGAAAAAAGTCGTTTCAAATCACCACAGGAATCGCCTCATTCAAGGGCATATTGGGACATCCTGTATATATTATGGATCAAGTAACTAACAGGTCATTATTTATAATTATACATAAAAACGAAATCAATTTTATAACAGTTGACTTCTGGACATTAAACAAACTATAGAATAATTAGAAACACTCACCAATTGCCTGAATAGTGCTTTTCTCCCGACAACGCCGCAGAACTCCCCGAAGTGGGAGATGGATATATTCCGGACGCAAAAAACCTCGTCCTTGCAGAGGCAAATGTATCTGTCCAGAAAAAGCTTTTCTGTCAGGTCTTTCCCGATGAACGGCGCCATCTTAATCATGAGCTGTAGATCCACAGAATTTTACACGATACATTTCACGGCCCCACGCACACAGAAGCAAAATCTACATTTAGCGCGGTTAAAACCGAAACGGAAACACAGAAAGGAAAAAAAAAAAGAGTCGAACAACAAAGTATCGATACGAATGCACCAAGTGGGGGCATATCTACGTTCTTTACGTGTGTGAACGTCACACGGTGTCGCGAAAAAAACGTGAAAGATTCTCGCTGCTTTCAATTAACTAGGGTTTCATTAAAAAACAAAAATTACGTGTGTGACGTACGAGGATCCTGACGCAACGAAGATATAAATCGTGCCGTTCCGCTCATCAAAGCTGGCTGTGATACGAGTCCAAGTCACCACATCACAACCACTCTGATGGGAGGAACAGTCGAATTCGCGGCCACTTAAACACACCTGGAATTAGAAAGATATGTAACAAGAGAATGGGAATCGAATTGGGGAGACTGCGTTGGCTTTTCGATGGCACTTGATCGATCATCGGGTCGCGGGAGGAGAGCACAACCGTGGATCGATCGTCTCGACGATTTTTCGAGGACTTTCTTAATGCGCCCGCATGTGCGGCCTCCACCCCGCTTGTCGAAATCAATGGGTCATTGTTAAATGATAAAATTAATTGTTCACGGGCAAAGGGTGACAGATGTGAATCATCGTGCGAGAGGATGATACATGCTATTGGTCTGCTCTCTCGAAACGCTCGCATTTCTCGATCATATTCGTTGACGTTCTCGAAGGCTTTGCGGTTCTACGCAAAATGTGTGTACCTGGACACATTTGGGTAGTATGTATATCGACTTAGTATATAATTATCCACTTAGTTAAAGATTTTTACCTTTTAGTGGAGTATAATGTATGATGTGTGGTTAATCGACGAAAAAGGACTACGATAAATAAATTTGTTCCGGAGACGCGATTATGGCAGAGTATGATATATAAAACAGATATTGTACATGTTCAATTCTGTTTCTATTGGTGTTTATCACGGAAAAATTCTTCGAATAACAGACGAAGATATGAAGATTTAGGTGACATTTAAAAGAAAGTATGCATTTCATTTATGAATAGCACTGTAGATATATCATACAGACTAATATTCGGAAACATAGTCGAAAACAAGTTTGTACAAACTTTCGAATTAGGAAGGTACCAAAGTTAATTTCTACCATTTAACACTACACAGTCAAATAACCGAATGGATGAATATTCTGGGGAGTTCTCTGTGTCTTTAAATTACGAAGAATCGCTCAGTGTGGTGTTTTCCCAAACTAGCTAAATTTAATTTTAAAAAAATGTTGACATATATACATATTTTTTTTTAAGAGTCCAGAGTTATAAAGATTAACTTTTGTATGGACATAAAACTACAATAGTGCGCATGTCAACAATTACAAAAGGAACCGCAAATTTTTAGTGCATTCTAATTTAAATTGTTTTCGAACACGTGTAAGTGAATTTTTTTTATGATTTATTTATAGGTATTGGCTGAAGATTTAAAATGAGGTAATTTTGTTCAAATATTTTTTGTAATGACAACAATAAGAAAACAATTTACGGAATTTCAAGAAGGCACAACAAAAAATCATTAAATATCTTTTTTATGTTAATATAAACAATGTTAATTCGGACAACGAAGTTAAACTATAAAACTGTTCAACAAGTAAAACTTTTTATAATTTTAGGCGTCTCTTATAGATCTCTATGAGCTAAATACGAATCTGCTAATAGTTCTTCCCCAGGGCGTACAATTTTTGAAAAAAAAAAAAAAATGAATTTTTAAAATTCTTGCAAATTTTCAACTTTGGAGATGTTTTGTGCTTTTACTGTCATAATACTAATTCCTGTTGTTTTAGCCACGAAATAATTCTCTGGACTCTCCCGAACAAAACGATCTGAATTGTTATTACATTATGAACATCTAAATGCATTTAAATAATAATCAAAGTGTAATATTAACCTAAATAAAAAAAAATTTGGTACGTAACAAAAGGACAATCACAATAGCTACAACTTTTGTTCCAAGCGGTTTTGTCTGAAACCTATCCAGTGGTGCTCCATGAATTTAGTATAGTTAGATTTATAAAACACCACACTGTGAGGCGATCATAAGTGGAACAAGAGCTCTCGAGAACGTCCTTCGGTGGATCCGCAGGATCCGTAAAGAGGGAGTTCGATTCCGACCCTGAGAAGCTACAGAGAACCTTTCCCGAACACGGAAACCTCGCGAAGACTCGCTGCTCCGCTCGCCGTAACGGGCAAAGCGATCGGAAATGGTTTTTCTCGGAAATCACTCACCGCGGAACACGTACGCGCTGTCTACTAAAGATGGGTCAACATCCTAAGTCAGCTCGAAAGGAAAATAATTAGACGTCGGTGGGCAAAAGCCCCGTCGTGGACGATTAATGATTCCATTAATCTCTCCTCTGCAATTTAACCGTCACGGCGATTCTAAAGAGAAAGCCCTTCTCATTCCTTAACGCCTAATGTATCGGGGTAAATAACGATATACAGACTTCTCTCGATTATCGTCTCGAACTCGGGTCCGCGTCAGAACAATAATCTTATAGGGAGAAATGCTTCAGACCCTCGTAAATTCGTTTTTTACCCAAAGTCTAAGCTTTGACAACAAAAGCAGAGGGACAACAAAGTATGCACTTTACAGGGTTCCACCCCCCCCCCCTCCAATGGTGGAGATAACACCTGGACAATAATCGTGTAGAACAAGTCAGACGATAATCGAGGGAAGTCTGTATTAGTACGAATTGGGATTTTGAATGTTTGATGATTAAGGACATGAAAAGAATAAGAGCAAATTGAAATCATATTTTCTAGGGTAAAATTTCTTTGGAAATTCAGTAGTAATAATTGTAACCATGGTAATAATCCACCTCCAGTGGTGGGGATAACACCTGGACAATAATCGTGTAGAACAAGTCAGACGATAATCGAGGGAAGTCTGTATTAGTACGAATTGGGATTTTGAATGTTTGATGATTAAGGACATGAAAAGAATAAGAGCAAATTGAAATCATATTTTCTAGGGTAAAATTTCTTTGGAAATTCAGTAGTAATAATTGTTACCATGGTAATAATCCACCCCCGCCCTCCCAGTGGTGGGGATAACGCCTGGACAATAATCGAGAGGAGTCTGTATTCCGAACGAAGAATCGAGATTTTTGATCAGAAATCTCGTTCGCCCCCCACCCGCCGACCACTTCTCAGGTGTAAAATCGTTGAATGTATCCGCGGCGCAACGCTCATCAAAGCTGGCTGTGATATGAACGCAGGTATCAGCATATCACAGTCACTTTGTGAGCGATGCACTGCCTTTCCATCGTTCCAGCGGAAGCATCCTCGAGAAAAACACTGATACCTCGACGACGATTTTCCTCTTCTTGTCGATCGTCTGTTCGCGTGCTCCGCTGGCAGATAACTGTGTCGTTGTGTGCGTTGCAAAAACGGCGATCCAAATCGTCAAAAATGGCTGTGATATGAAATCCAGAGAAGCAACACGCCACAACCAATTTGACGATTGGATCGCGTTCCTCTCCCTTCTCGTTCGTTTCGTCTGTGCTTCAAAATCTCGCGGTTCAAGAGAATCGTTGCGTCCTAGAGACATCCCTGATGAAGAATATTCACGATCATTTCAGAATGAGGGACCCAGGGTTACTGTTCACACGTTGTTAAGATGATATTTGTGGTTGTTAATCTTTTCGTAGTTTCGGTCGTGTGGAGCGACCGATTATTAATTAAGCGACCCATTAAGCGCACTCGATGACGACACACACGGACCACCACCGCTTGGCTCCTCCGACGATCGATTCTGCGGGCCAAACTCATCAAAATGGCTGTGATATGACTCGAAACATTCCACAACCAATTTGATGTATCGGACCGCAAAAGGTATTTTCATTTCGATGCAACGTTTGTACCAACAACCAACCCCCTCCCCTCTTTTTGTCTCTTCTTTTCGTGCTCTTCCAATTCCGAGGGACATCACCCCGCGTTTGGCTTGCCCCCTGGACCCTCTCTGGTAATTATTTCCACGTCCAGCTTTTCCTACCTCTCTCCATCTCTTGTTTGTTTTTTCCCTCGCGTCGAGTTCCTCCTACGGTGAGTCGTTGTGGCGAGGACGGACACAATTTTGCTCATCAAAGCTGGCTGTGATAGTCGATCTCTATGACAAACCAACTTTGATGGTAAAAGCATGTCCTTTGTCGAGTGTCTTCCTGGTCCGTGACGTGTCTTCTTTCCTTTCTCATCGTCCTGACACTGCCAACAGGTTCGATATTTCCGTGTGGTTCGCCTATCCTATCCAAAATCGCTTTCGCATGTTAATCACACACGATCTCCGTGTTTGAATCGGAAGCGTCGATGCGCAACGAACGCCGGATGAAAGACAAGATAGTGAGACGCGATAGCGTTAGAACATCTCACTACCCATGTCTTTCAAACGGAATCCGTCGATGATGGAGAATTATGGTATGGTCTTTGATACAGGATTTGCTTTCTTTTTTCCGGTACAGTAAAGTCTCCGATTGGCGCAGTTAACCCTCTACAACATCGTATGATTTTAGTCACGTATCGATGTATCGACAGTTGTTTGGTTTAATTTACCTTTTTGTCGCTACGTGTCGTACACATCGTGTTCTATAACCTCTCTTTGGTAATCGATAAGATTCTTTGTAAATATCCGAGTAATATTGAAATCTTTAAAAATTGTGAATTCATTGTTAATTTGTACTCAGAGGTTGATATTTCTTGATTTCACGATGTACAATTTTTTTATTGTCGCGAAAAAAATTCGGACTATAGAGGGAAACGATTAATCGAGACGTGTAGGCAACCCTCGTATAACACGGATTCGTTCCAATACAGTTTGACTTAGACAATTGGGGAAACCTCTAAATAATAACACGGATTCATTCTAAAAGTTAGAAGATTGTGTAGAATAGTATAATTTTGTTAATTTCCGTAAACCAAGCCGGGTTTTGTAGGTGTACCAATAAGTAATCCACTATTTCTGACGAAATATCGGTATTCGTGTCTATAAAAGTCAAGGATCTATACTGTTTAATTTACACTCATAGTGATTTTCCTGCACGATACACCATTGTTGCTTAACTCAAGAAGATACTTTCAATTTTGAAATTATATCGCCTCGCAATATAAGAAACAGTGGATTTCTCGTCGACACTTTTAGGAACCTAACCTCACAATGTTACACGATGGTGTTAACATCGTTATCCGAAGAATTTGTGCAACACAAATGTACAGTAAACGCTGAGAATAATCCATGGGATAAAAATCAATGCACTATTTCGTGCGCTCACCGGTATCGATTGAACAAAGTCGAGCGAATCAAGAATGCGATACGCGAAAACGCCTCGGCGTTTTCTCTGCCATCGGGCTTTCTTATTTACGCGGCTGCCTACATACGTATTCGTTAATTAACCGACATAAGTAGACCCACGAGGACGTCGACGGAATGTTAAATCGCGACACGACAAAAAAATATATATCGAAGGTATTTTTCGTCATTTCGTTCGAGCAGATCCCCCCCCGAAATCGGTTGTGCAACGCGATAAACGCAAAGGGTGACGAAGAGATTACGATATCTCTCCGAGGGGTTGTTCCCTCGCTGGGAAGGTATACACGCACAGTTAACGGGAGAGGGAAAGAAAGAGAGAACAGAGATAGAAAAGAAAGAAGAGACAACACAAAAGTGGAGACTTACGGAGATGCCCAAGGTAAGGAAATCGACGGACCTACAGAGAACGTCTATTGCCGCGCATATTTTGACCTCGATCGCGTTGTTGTCTAGAAGTCCCTTCTTTATTAGCGTCAGCACAGTTTCCTGGGCCGTCAGTCGTACCTGTCCACGGGGAAAGAAAGAGAAATTCCGTCAATGGGGGCCCTATATAATTCTTGGCCCGAGTTTACGGTACTTCCTTCGGTCAGGGGGGGGGGGGTGAAACGATCCTTCCACCGCTCGGTTCTCGGCAGGAAAGGCTCATATACAGAGAAATTTTCTGCATCGTTTTGTGTATAAAGCAAAATTATTCACCTGACTGTCCGAGTCCCGGAGGTATTCTATGATGTACTGCAACATGTAATTGTGGAGAACGTCGCCGAATAAGTGCGGAGCCTCCTGGCAGATCAACGCCACCTGTGGCACCTCTTTCACCAGGTCTGTCCGAACTCGGGTATCTGGAAGCAAAGAGGAACCGATTTTTCGGACAACTGATTTTTAAAATGGGACTGCACAATTCGATGCGCAATTTAACGGATTCTTAAAATTGAACTGCATGATTCGATGCGCAGATATCGAGGGAATTAACGAATCCAAATTCTCCGTGTACGAGTAAAGCTCGAGATTTACTCAAATAATTTGTTATAGCGGTTTTGAATTGGATTACTTACTTTCTGTTAATGATTTATTGCAGATTTTTTACTGCACATATCGATGGTTTATTAATAATTCGAATTTAGTGGTAGTTGTAGTGGACATATTACGTTATGGAAGAAAAGAACAATTCCATTCGGTCGTAACCGCGATATTTCGGAACTGTGTTCATTTAATCGTTCAGTCGAATGGAATTGTTCTTTTCTTCCATAATGTAATATGTATTACTTACAACACTAAGAATGTTATTTTTATGTTAATTCGATAAAATCGTCGACAAACGAAGCAAACTTCTATTCCTTTCCTACACTGGACGAAGATAGAACCGATTCTGCATAAAGATTCGCTGTCTGCTCGCTACTTATACCGAAGAAGTTTGATTGAATCACCACCAGTAATTTCACGGTATGTATCATTTCCGATTAATTGTATTTCACGATGACGCGTCTAACGATATTCCTGCGAACGCTACAGTCCGTTCGGCAAAGCCACAGGGAGAAAACTGTCGGTGCTTTAACAAGGAATCCGATCGTTTCTTTGCAACTCACGATCGACCGCTCTACCTAGAGACGCCCATTCGTGCGTCGAAAGCTAGAAAAACGACGGAGGGAGAGAGGACGGGGGGGTCATTCTCCGACGTTTCCTTGACCTTGGTTCGTTTTTATTCCAGAACCGGCGGGGGTAGCCCGTTCTCTCCGTGGAAATACCTGAATGAAAAAAGGCCCGTCCTGCCGCAAGCAGGCGCCCCTGCTGATTAGGAAAACTCTCTCGCACCTTTCGACCACGAGGCCTTGTCGGGTACCCGACACCCATAAAGAACCAGAATTTTCCCGTGGGTCATTAAGGAAAACCGAGACCCATCGGTCGACTACTTAACCGGACAGGTGCAACATCGACTGCTCCAGAGGCACGTCGTAAAAATGACTAGCTTCCGGCTGATTTCCCCTCGAAATAATTTTTACTATATATAAGAAAAAAATTAAAAACACACATACCAACTGCCCTCGTCCATTATTCCCGCGACTTCCGACAACCGAGTGAATCCAAGAGACCACATGGCCGTCCTCGACATCCTCGCCCCAGCAACCCACAAACTCCGTTTCGAACGTCACAGGGGAAATGTAATAAGTATTTCACGGATGTACGTTTCGAAATTACCGAACTTCGCGAGAACATGCCCGAATCGTGGCGAAAACGCGAAAAAACTGGCGACGCTGACTCACGCGTGACGTTGGAGAGTAGCGATATTTCTCGAGAACTCGTAAAAGGAACCAATAACTTCCACTGAGATGAGAAAAACACTATCGAAAATAATGCTCAAAAAATACCCACGACACTTTCTAGGACACAAACTCGATCCTCAGGTCAAAGTGTACTCGGGGGCCAGGAGGCACACGAAGAACCAGACACCGAAAAAGAAGAAGCAAGTTACCCATCGGAGAGCGTGGGTGCGACTGAGGGTCGTCGATTTCTCGGTCGCGGGAAATGCATCTTCCCTGGTTTGCCGGACTTTTCCAAACGGCGTGTTGTGGTGGCGGTGGTGGGGGGGAACCGGGGTAGCCGCCCCACTCCTCCAACGGGGCCCAGCGTCGAGAAAGAGAAACCCGGATAGGGAAAGGGAAAACGGGGCTCGTCCCTTTTCGATCGTTTTCGCGCGTTCGTGGGGCCCCACGATCCTAGCACGTGCTCAGTTTATCCCTCTGTTACCTCTCCCCTCCCCTCCAACCTCAATCTGCGTTTCCCAATTTTCGTTGGGACTTCCATGATCCGTTCTTCCTCTACTTCCTCCCTTGGTAACCGCCCTCGTGGTGTCTTTCTCCCACCTTAACCCTCGACGAAGAAGCTCCTAGTTTTCTCTGTCGTCCCCCCTCCTTTCCTCCATGACCCCTCCCCTTCTTTTTTTCTCTCCGACGCAGCCCCCGGTCCATTAATCACACACCGAGCCTTATCTTCTTCTCCGCCCACTCCATCCTAGCGCGCCTTCTGTCCCGGACAAAATCCCGCCAAAAATATCCCGCTGCGGCGTTCCTTCAGTACTAAGCGTCACCGATTATTTTCCTGGTATTCTACCCCACCACCTCCTTCTGCCGTTCTTTTCGTTCACCTTTTCCCGATCTTCACCGGTAGGCGACGTTTCATTGTTGACGAATTTACCGGCGTTTCGGGGGATAGTCCGAGGGCCCGTTTTTCGCGCGGTTTTCTTTTGGACACCGCGTAAACGGACGATTTACGGGTCGATTTGTCGGAAGTTACGTAACTTTTGTATGGGAAATTATGTATTTGTAATGGAATTAGACTTTACGAAGATTTCGAGGATGTCAAACGATCGAACGGATTCGTTCGATGATATTTACATGAAAGTCTTTACGGTTTCTAAGAACAGAAGTCTGAAAGTTGCATTTTTGTCGAATATAGTCAGTATTTGCAAAGCTTTCGATTCATTTGCCGTAAAAAACTCGATTTTATTTAATCCTCCGACGGTCTATTTCTATTCAATCGCGTTTTCGTTTCTTTAAACCTCATCCGCCCCTTGTGTCACTTTGACACATTTTTTTCTTAAGAAATGACGCTATTCTGTTATGTGTAGGTAAATTTAGCTGGGGCTTCGTGACTTATTTTAAAGAATTTGCGAACTATTCATCTCGTTATCATTGAAAATGAGGGACAAATGAGGGTTAACACTGTTGCGATTTTACACGGATTATCGAAATAATCTCATCTCTTCAGAAATGTGCTGGTGATTATGAAAGTGGCATAAACTCAATTAAATATTTTGCAGAAATGTAATTGTAATGTAAATCAATGTGACACCAAATAAGTAGTAAGTTAATTTTTTTTTAGATTATTTACCTACATTACTTTGTACTTAGATAGGATGTAATAAAATTGTTATTGATCTGCGTGTTTTTCCTTCCCCGTTAGTATTTCGAATGTATAACTGGACTGATGACTAGATTACAGATTTTATGTATTTATATTATACATGACTTTGTGGAGTATAATAAAGAACAAAAATGTCGTCAAATGCAATGAGTTTACTATTTTATTCTGAACCCAACGAGATACTTAACACATTAGCTATGTGATTAGCAACGATCAACAGTCAAGGAATTATTATTAAATAATTCAATCACAGTAGCAAATTGCATTCATGAAAATAGCAAGAACTAACCCTGATCTAAAGATAAATGAACACTAGAGCTATCAAACCCGTCAAAATGATTATAGATTAACTGTTTTACCATTACTAAAATTACAATGGTGCTTTTGACAGAATTTATGTTTGCTTTCAATTAACTACAAATTTTATTTTATAGTTAACAGAAGGAAGATATTCCTACATTTCTTCTTGTCTTTATGAACTACATTAGAAACTCTCCTGCACAAAGATCCAAAGTCTACCGATGACCATAACAGGCACAATTCACCCCTGAGGCTACACTCGATCAATTACTCAAGAATTCATACTCCCTTCAAAACGAAAACCCTAAAAATAATACTTTCCTGGAGACCCTAAAATATCGGTCACTAAAAAGAAAATATATTTTCACGATGAAAAGAATTCCAATACCGATAGCCAGGGGGCTCAGAGTTCCTCCTTCTTTCTCAACTTCGAGCCCGCCAACGATTCTCATCCCTAAACGTCAAAAATCCCGCGTTCCATCCAAACACCGGGGACGCAAGCTGCGTTCCTTCATTCGGTCCTCGAAAAACGGGGGGAGGGAAACGGAACGCGCGCGTCACCCCCGTGCTTCCGAATATCCTTCTCTAGTAGATACATATGGCACGTGAAGTCGGAAACGCGTTCGGGGGGAAGAGAGGGTGGCGGCCCAGGCGTCTCAGGAGGCGACGCAACTGTCGTGTTCCCCTGACGACGAAGGAAAAAGGGGGCGCGTGCGAGTCCCTTAAGGCGCGTCCAAAAATACAGCGTGTAGGAAAAAGCGCGCGTGTGTCGCGTGCCCTCGAGTCCTGAATCTTCGACCCCCCCCCCCTCCTTCTACAACCTCCCCCTTCCCGTGTACTCTCCTAGTCGAGGAACCGTTTGCCTTCTGTCCACGGAAAAACACCGATGGCGGCACGTGTTACACACGGCAAGATGTTCCCCAGTGTGAATTTCGACCCCTAAAAATAGCCGACCAGTGTGACACTCACGGATCATGGACGATATGCACCTTTTCCCTCCCCTTCGAACAGTTGCATCCCTTCGAAGACGTCCGAGATGACTTTGCAGAGGAAACTCTTCTTCCCCTTACCAGGGGGCTTCTCCAAACACCCGAGAGACCAGAAGGGCAAACAACACATCGGTCGTCACGCGAAAATCGACCACGCTTTTATACTATTTTCTCGACGCTCACCCCCATTGATCTGTTCTACCACCTCCCCGTTTACCGCCAGGGGCTCGTTAACGTCCCGAAAAAAAAAAAACGATCGATGAAGTTTATTTGCAATTCGTACGAATTCCCTTTGTCGCTTGCGGGGACGTTTGAGTATTAAGGCCAGGAAATAAAGGGGACACACGACCTGGGGGGGCTTGTCTTTACTCGTTGTTTCATGGGACCCAGGCGAACCTGACAGGCCACCTTCGGAGGTTTTAAAGTATTTTTCGAAGGATTCGGCCGAAAAGAAAGGTTGCCATTAGCGGGATGAAAACGCAGTGCGGCGAGTCGTCGTTTTCCACGCGTTTCCACGAACCCGGGGCCAGGTAAAAAGAAAACGTTTTTCGCGGAAGGATCGCCGCCTACCGGGGGCCCACTTTACCCGGGCCAAGTTGCCGCTGCTGCAGCCTTTTCGGAAAGGTTCCACGGGCGACGTTTTCTTCGCGTAAGATACTCATCGATGGAAACACGTTTGTTGGGATGACCTTTTGGAACACCACCACCACACGGTTTTCCGGAGTTCTGCGAAACGGACCGACTGAACGTTGCCGCTCAATTTTTTGTTTTCTTCTTTTACTTTTTCTTCCTCTGTCTCGACTTCTACGAAGGGTAGGCTCTCGATTTTTCAAACGGCTCACGCGCGTCCACGACGAAGCGTTCTTTTCGATGCGCTATGCAAACGTTCAGGGTAATTCTTGATGATGAATTGGAGAGAAAATTTCGTAGAAATAGTTGAATACACGTTCGTCATGGGGGCCCTTATTGTATTCTTTAATTAAACCATAGAATAGAGCGAGGGGGGAGGAGATAGGAGACAAGAAAAATAGTCTGTATTAAACAGTACTTTCTTGTAATTGAATACGACTATGGAAATTTATGAGTTCTCGGAGCTGACCGTGTCGCGTTTACCTGACGATGGGGACGGCACGTGTTCATTTAAATTATTAAGTCGATGAAGAATGTATGATCGTTTGAAATGCCGCCGGATTACTATTGTCCCCGTGCCTATGTACGCGAAGTTTGTGAATATGTGTAGAATTGTCGCTGGACTGTGGATGTTCAACTACTGCGTGGCGAACATTTTTACGAAGTCAAATGGAACTTTACTGGCCCGTAGTGACACTGTAACTTAACCCTTTAACGGTGTTTAACTCATTATGAGGAAATGACCACTTTTAGGTAATGACGAGTATACTCATCGTGTGAAAGAATAAGATAACCTCAGCCATAAAAAATATTATTAATAATTATAAAAATTAAACTGAAATTAAACTAACGACCTACTTGCAAAGCTACACGCGCTAAGAATATATACGAATAATTAAGTAGTTATAATTTGACGCGTTCAATTCCAGATATAGTTTAGTTTGAAATACTTTTGCATCTGGAGTAAGGAAGTCAATTTGGTTGCTATTCACTTGCGTACAAATTCTGTTTACTGGGTCGCTATTCCTAAGTCTGGACGTGTATGGTGAAGGTCTAAAAAGTGAGGGAGCTCTAACTCATCATCCAAAATTTCATCGTTAATGGGTCAGTAATCGTCGAGTGCGTTTAAAACGTGGTCACAAATTTAAAATTACTTTATAAAACAGTAGACGATTTTTTTTTTAAATAATTAACATTTCGACCTCATCCAAAACTCAATTCTCCGAAAAGATTCCCAAAACTTTCGAGACACTCTTACAAATTTTTATATTACCTCGTCTTTCCCTCTCGTTGCTTTTTCGAGAGTCTATTTTATGTTGAATTCCTCCAAGTGGGGGCGAACGAAAAAGTAAACCGTGTTACGGGGCGGCAGGCTCGTATAAATACTTCGGAGCATACATACACGGAAGCCACGATAGACTTCCGGCTGGGCACGTGCTGCACCGGAAGCGGGGACAATCTTGTCGTCACCTCGTGGAGCAACAGCCACGTCTGCAACCCCAACTGGCTTCATCATTTACCCCCCCCCCCCCCGAGGCTGTCCTCCTGTTTTCCCTTCCTATTTTTAAACGTCTTCCGCCTACGCTGTTTTTCGTTCGGGGAAATAGAACCGGAACGACCACGAAACAAACAAATGGCGAACCGCCTAAAAAGGAATCATTGGAGAAGTCGATCCCTTCATGGAAATTTCTGTGTAGTAAAGATAGGTCAGGTGAAACAATTTTTTCTTACAGGGATAGGGTAAATGTCCCGATTACTGCCAGTGTCCCTAATACTGTCACTTTATTTATTTTATTTAATAACAACGTAATGTATAAAGAATTGTGCACGAACAATTTTTTTTATTAATTTGGAAGTCTGATTTACACGAGGACACAGAAATACGTGTACTAGGACGTATCTGGTATTTATAAATTAAAGTGCAATCTGAGTGTTTACGCGACTGTGTAAGTAGGAAGCGATTTTGAAATCATAGTAAAGGAAGAGCCGTGATTTGTAGTATGTAACCTTCATTTATTGTATAAAACGAATTGTTAAAACATTAATTTAATTTTTTAAGGTACATTGGGATTGCTCGGAGATTTTGTGTGTATAAAACTATTTTTTTCAACGAAAGAGATAATAAATAATATTATGTTTCAAAGTGAGACGATTTTTAGGTATAAACAACACGTAAAATTATTATGTAAATTTACAGTATAATCTTAAGGTGGCAGTGTCTGGGACATCTACGTTAGCAACTAATTTTGATGAATTTCATTTGGTCGAAAACGTGCTTTAAATGTAAATGAAAAAAATATTGGAATCGTACTTGAGATTTAATTTCAGTCATTTTCAATGATTCTGGAATTAGAGAAAGGTACTACTGTGCGCGATGGAGAACATCATTTTGAATTACTTTGATGTGAACGATTAAAAGTGCTGTATGATTAAAAAAAAAAAAAGGGTGCAACGATCGGTGGTTGAACTGTCATGGCAACGTGCAATTTATCAGTTTTCTCGTTGTCGGGTTACAGAGATTTCGTGTTTTGCAAACCAAAAATCCTATGAAATATTGCGTGAAAAAAGAACAGCAGTTTTTGAATGATTAAATGGTCTCCCTCGTGATTGATGAAAATATCGCTTCAATTCGTATTGATACATCATTTCACATTTCTTTAACTTCGAAAGGCAGTACAATTTTTTATGTTGACAAGGACTGTACACTATGCCTGGTGTTAATTTTTTAAATTATTATTAAGGGCATAGTTAATTTGCAGATGCGTGAATTAGAAGTAAAAAGAAGCAGCGAAAGAAAAAATAAGCGGAAATAAAAAAAATATAATTTGGCAAATAAACATGCGTGTACGGTGTGCAGAGGATTTGGCTCAGAAGTATTTCCAATCCTTTCAAATCCTGCGTAAATTAATAAATGAATTTATCAAAAGCATTCTTGCAAGTTGCACACTATATTACTGGTATTAAAACTACAGCACCCGAAATTATACGGGTGTTAATAATTAGCAATTAATTAGAATGCGTAAAATGTTTCTTAACACGAATTGAAAAAAGTTTTTGACATGCTTTCTTCTTTTCCGTTACGAAACATATTATTTACAAGTAAATTCAGAAGCTAAATACAATAGATCTATACCAAAAGATTAAAAAAAATTACCACGCCTTACAAGAATAAACAAGCGTATAAATTTATTCGTGTGTCCAAGATGAACCAGATTTTCTTCAATTTTTATATTATTATACTTCGTAATACTATATATTTTATGAACAATTTCAGAACTTACCGGGATCGTCGGTGATCTGGCGCACCGATTGCATGATTTCATCGAGATTAAGTTTTGTTTCATTGTTGACCGCTGTGCGAAATATTGTCACGAGTATCTTTCCAATTCTTTGTCTGTAACAAACAAAAACGAAATGCAGGTTAGATAATGAAATCTTTTCCACTATTAATTAAAAGTATTTTATTTAGATGAAAAGTTCGAACAATACGAAAATTCTCATCAGGAATTCAGTTTCAAACCTTAATCGTCCAATGAGCCACGTTAACGTACAAAGAACAACTGAACAAACTGAACCGATTACCGCGAGCTGTAAAAGTTTGGGGACTTGGAAATATAACAAGGAACAAGTGGGAAGGCGGAGCAGTAGAAAATGGAGCGTGCGTCTATCGATCAAGTACAAACGAAGTTAATCGGTTTCCGTCATTTTCGTTTCATACTGCCTTTTTTAAAAAGGTTCAAAAGCTTCAGTTTGTTTTTTCCTGATCTAAAATTGTCACTAAAACTTAGAAACGTACGTAGATTATTTATTAAGTTGATTACTTGTATGTACTTGATATATTTAAATAAAGCAATTACACTTTTACATTTAAACCCTATTTAATGGGTCTACACCTGAACTTACTAAACGAACGAATTCTCGCCTTAACAAGAATTAAACTTTCTTGGCAGCGTTCAAATACTCGTATCGATCTAACGCTGCAGCTCTGACATCTCTATAATGGTCGAATTGGACAGAAAAACTATTTATTCTAGATATCCAAATGGAAACTTCAGAAGAAAATATACGAAAATGAAACGGTAAAATAATTACAAGTTTTCTATTACAAAAAAAAATAGGTTTAACACAGACTGATTTCGCGATCTTAAAGGGGTTGGTGTTCGATGTCGGACAGATCATCGTGAAACGAAATCTAGAACGATCTCGCTCGAATCTCACGAGACACGATTAAAATTCCTTTTATGTATTCGAATGAAAAGCCACTTCATCGTAGCCGGATTTTCACTAACAAAACAATGCATAAAAAAATGAGGAACGAGATGACGCAGAGGAGATCTAGCCGCGAATTTACGAGCGACTTTCTTTCCCGCGGACTTCGAATAAATCCACGGCTCAGCCGGTTGGGGTGCTATACTACCCCCGGAAGACGCGTCCGTAAAGAGTGTAAAACGAGGAGAGTCGAGAGTGTGGCGAAAGGCGGCGACGAGAGACGGGAAAGGGGTGATGGTAGGTTTACCCAAGGAAAATTACATTTTCTCGACGGAATCGCCGCGAATGCAAATACCTCCGCGGAACGGTAATTAACGGCGACCGTCGGGGGTGGCAGAAGAAGTCCAAAGGGGTGTTAGATGGAACTTTTAACAAGGACCAAGAGAACGACGCGGGTCTCGAATCGGTCGGCCCACGAAAATCCCCAAGATCGGCGAACTTCCACCCTGGTTTCCCGGGTATAATTTCGTCGAAGTTCCAGCAGGAGGAAGTACTTCCCCGCGATGGACTTCGCGTCGAATCTTAACGATCGAGGAGCTCGCGAAGGGCCAATCAGGACACGCCAGGGGGGGGGAGCCTGAAAAGGAGCGGGTGTCAGTGGTTGTCAGTCGGCCATCGAGGCGGCATCGACCGCGAACAGAGGAAGCTTAAAAAATCGACGACGAGGAAAAAACTTAGAAAATGTGTCGACCGATAATGTACTTCGAGGTGGAGGGTGGAAAAGAGGGTGGGGAGGTAAGGACGAGAATAAAACGAAAACGATGGGTGGACCGTGAAAAAGAACAACAGTAGCGGGGTAACGCGAAGACCGAAGGAAGGAAGGAAGGAACGGTGCGAAGATACGGAGCGAAGAGTTCGATCCTCCAGTTCGTTCTCACAAGACTTCCCCCCACTTTAACTGCATTAGTATGGTGGTGGTGGGCTACCCTCTCCAGACTATGGGTGCGTGGGGAACACGGATGAGTACGCTGCGATGTATAGAGCAAAGAGAGGGAGGTGGAGGGGAGGATGGAAAGCCGTCAGCTATGAGTAGTCGGAGGGGGGGATCCCTTCAGCGTGAGAGACACAGCGCGAACGGTCGACGAGGAGGGGAGGTGAGGGGAGGGGAGAGGCGAGTGCCGTGTATTCTGGTGGGGGGTAGAACTGGCACCAACGGAAGATCGTTTGCGGTACCCCACCAGAAGTTTACCAGACGAACGCCGGTGGGGGGAGGCCGTTCTCCAAAGTCGTTGGAGAACGGGCAGAGGGATGGTACCGCCCGTGAACGCCTACCGTGCCGGCGCAAACATGGCCGCCACCCGGCGTCCGTCGACGGCAGCGACCACGAGGACCCCAAGACGACGGAATAAGACCACGCGTCGCCGTTCGTCGTATCTCCGTTGCGATTTCGTGTATGTATAATCTAACGAAGGGACTTCGAACGGAATTTCGAGATCTCGGAGATTTCGGTCCAACCTGGTTCCATGACGCAAGGTCGTTGTCCCCGATGGGCAGAGAACAGAACGACGCGCGTGGATATCCTTTCTATGCACACCACCCCCTATGGCCCAAAATTGAAGTACCGAGCCGCTGAGTGACTTCGCGGCGGTGCGCATGTTCGTGCTTCAGGATGGCCTCGTAAGATCGATAGGGAAGACGGCGGTTTCGTGACCGGTGTGTGCGGCGGCTTCGGGCGGTGGTTTCGATTTTAGGGGAAAGTCGATTTGATAGGGGGTGGATTGCTCGGAATAACGGAACTCCGGAGGGGTTTGCCTGCATCGGTGACGTGTTGTTCATTGGTAACTTCGGCCCTTTTCTCTTCGATTTAGCAGCGTATCTTACTGCCGTACGATCTACTGGGATCGTATATCGGGCGATCATAGAACACGTGTATTATTTTAAGGGAAATATGTATAGCCGATTTTTGGATGAAATTCGGCGTGAGGTATACAGTCGCTGCCTAATGTTCTCGGTCAAACTATAATTTCATCGTTATTTTTGTCAGGTCTGTATTTGTTAGGAACAGGACAGATTATTTTTATGCAAGAAAAATTTTAGTATCACCAAATCTGAAGAAGCAATGTATCCTTAATACGGGTAGGTTTATCAAGAGTTTATTACACGGTTTTATTTAAGATGTTCGTATTATATATTGTATTTTCAAATGATCCAATTTATCGAGCGCTGAAATCAGCTAATAAATTTATAAATATGATCGATTTATTCAATGGCTCTATTGGCTACTTTAAGAAATCCTTACATAGTGCACTATGAACTGTTTAAATTAATATTAAAAATTCTTTTTTTATGATTAATTCCGTACTGTATACTATGCTAGTGTAACTGTTTCTATTTTTATTTTCACTTTGGGCAGCCACTTAAATATCTACATCGAACTCCCGATTCTGATCTTTGAAACAGATTTCGAGAACATTGCACAGACGTGCTAAAAAGTAACTGATCTAATCCCTTCGACGTTTACGTTACGTGTTTCTTTATCTTTCCCAGAAGTCCTTCATTAAATTCCAAGATACGTAATCTATATTACGAAGTACCGCTTCTACCAGCAGTAAATTATGAAAATAACAGAACTCGATGTTACAATTATCCAGGTGAGAATAATCGATTCGAAGCCTCTCTTGGACCAGTTCCAATTCGAAACAGTCTGCTAATTAATCGAGCGGATCGATGACCGCGTAAAAATCGTCGATATCGGGAGCGTGTAGGTTGGCCCCGTTCTCATTATCGATATTAAAGCTGGTGCTCCATTAACACGGCCGATTGTTATTTCGACAATAACGTCGCTTGTTTTCACGCGATATCACGTAACCGCGTGTGGTTGGCGGTTCAACGACGACGAACTGGCTCCGAAATTTCATTAGCCGTTCTCTGGCTGCTGGCGGATTAGCCGCGTGGGCGGAAACGGAAGATGAGTCGAACACTCTTTACGAGTGCACGAAGGAAAGGGACGACGGGTGTGGGAGATCCACGGGAAGATATATCGCGTCTTCGACGTCGCGTGCAGGCTCTCCTCTCTCCTCGGATACATTGTATTCGAGTCGCGTGTGCCCGCCTCGTATCCATCGCGCGTTCCCTGAAGAAAAGTGGATTCGCCGGTCGTTTCGTGGACCCTAATGCCGCGTCGGGGAGACGGAAAGCGATAAAAGTGGATATCGTTCACGGGATATCCTTGACTCGTCGCTGCGATTCTGCTCGCGACGCGAAGTAGTTTGAACGGTACTTATATCACTGATCGATGCAGTTAAAATTATGTTACGGTGGGGTTCGGTACCTTGTAAGGAGAATAACAGTTTTTTCTATCATTCGTTTGAGTTTGAGTTGGAGTATATTGAATCATTCTACGATGATCTAGTAATTGGTACGATGGTCAGGTATTATGTCCCTTCGTTTGGACATCTAGGGTTTGAAAGAAGTATGGATAAATTTAGGTGTAATGTTAATTTTGTGAAAATAATTGGTTTGTTCGAATAGGAAGAGAATATACTCCATCTGATTTTGATGTACTAGAAAGTATAATTCTGGTGATCGTTTGTTAGGATTAATACAATTTTTGCTTTCTATTTATTAAAAATCTGAATTATTAGAGATAATACTGTGAGGTATCATACGAAATGTAATAATATGTTCTACGATGAGAGAAATTTTGTAAATTTGAGGTTCTGTTTCGAATTGAATCGATGCGATCTATCCACGAGGGTCAAAGTGATTGACAAGTAAACAGACAGATAAAGAATGATCCATTAAAATAAATAAAATGGGCGATGCTACTATGTACGAATGAATGTAGAGTACTGATAATACGCGGTAGCTTTGTGACCCCTAACCCGTCATGCGTGAATTTTGATTGCTGCTCTATGCGAGCACTAAAATATTAACATCGACAAAAATCGAAAATTTCTGCGATTCTTTGGTAATTCTACGGTTATAACCATGCTGACCGAAATTACACCCCAGAAAAAAGCGAATGACCTACTTTTAAAAGCGTAAACATGCTTTCTATTAATCGAAGTTTACACTACGTACCAGATTGTTTTACAATTTCACTC